GGGAACCTCTGTCACAGCAGATACCACCCGGGGCCTGGCTGAGCACAAAGCCCCAACTGTCCACCCTGGGGTCCCAGTGAGGGAGGTTCTCATCAGGATGAGCAGCCAGTTAGAAAAGTGCTGATCCCCAGACCCAAGGCAAGGACAGAGGGACTGGGAGCTGAGGGGGGGAAGTGGGGGAATCAGCCCAAAAGAACTGCACAAAACAAGGGGGCAGCACAGAAGGGACGGGTGTGGACCCACATGTGGGCAGAGACCCGACCTCTGCTGGGACTTCCATTCCTGATAATGAATGCCTCACCAAGAGCCCTCTAGCGCTTTTCTCCTGCTCCATCTCCCGGCAGCAGTCCCAGAGGGCAGTCTCTCAGTGCCTCGGGAATCCCAAGCGATGAGGGAGCGATAAACACCAGTGTGGCTATTTATACAGGATCAGTTTCTGTGCCCTTGCCAAGTTACTCAAATGAAAGTTTAACGGCCTCTGGAGAACACAAACGAATAATGCTCAGAGCATTCACCCCTGCTCTTCTTTTTTTTCTTTCCTTTGTCAACGTTAAGCAGCATCAGCAGGCTAGAAGCAGGGACTCCAGCGGCAGCCCTGCCTGTGGGCTCTGTTTTCAGGGACAGAGGCAGCCAGTGGGTAGTTCAGTCCTGTCCATTTGCCAACTGCTGGATTTGTTACACAGCCTGCCACCCCAGCATGCCGGGAAGAGAGGACGTCATGTTAAAGCAAAGGCTGGGCATCAGGGGGATCCGGTGCCCAAGCAGCACTCATGGCCACGCAGCTCAGACCCGCCCACGGTCTCCTGCTGAAATCTTCATCAAGGGAGGTCCTGGCCTGCGCACCAGGCACCCTGGGAACACACTACAGACAGCTCACCCGCTGGACACCCCCACGCACACTGTGGGGCCAGAGGAGTACCCTGAGTAATTCAGCAGGCAGCCCCCACTCTCCCCTGAGCTTCTGCCTCCTGGCCGGGATGGGCATGTCCTATAGCTTTCACTCAGGGGATCGTATTTCCTTTCGAACTGCTGTCAAGGGAGGAGGAAAAAATCCACCCCGGTACCAACTTTGTCATAAAGGCATGTGACTTTGGTCCCAGGCAACGGACCTGAGGTCACCCATCCAGCTGGGTGATGAACGAAAGGCAATGGCCTGGGCCACCTCCAATCCCACAGCTGCAGGCTGGGAAACCTGCGCAGGTCCATCCCCAGGGGACGTGGCCTGGCACTCAGACACCTGCGCTGCCACACTTGCTCTGCCATCTGAGACACACAGCTTGCTTACTCTGTGCCAAGGTTTCCCACGGTGAACAGCGGGAGAAATATAACACTCCTTTTCACAGAAGGGGGAGAAGTGACTATTTCTGGAAGTGATTTTTAAAAACTGCACTCACTTCTTCTCCCCCTCAAACGATCAAAATGTTCACTATAGAAAGTCTGGAAAATGGACTACAAGACAGCTGCAATTACCTGGGATCACAGCATTAATTGTCTCTGGGGCAGGAAATGGAATCATATTGCTTTTCTGAGATCAAGTGATCCTTTATTCTTTCTCCATCTTCTGTTTCCGGCTGAACACAACGGGATAATTATTAAAGGACTAGTATTTCCCACTCTTGTGTCTGAACTTGAAGTCCTTGGCAAAAACAGGAAATAAAAGATGACTCCAAGGCTAAGTGGTGACCTCCGGAAGTAGCCCTTACCCACTGCATAGCAGGGCCCCCAGCCCTGACCATGAGCAGGGCATCCCTCCAGAACGTTCCTCGGATTCGGATTTGCGGTGCTGGCCACGGTCCCCACTGTGCTTCGTTACCATGCTGAGGGAGGAGGCCTGAATCCCTCCCTCCAAGGAAGCTGGCCAGCCACCTGGCCCCATTTGGCAGGGCTGCTCTGATCCAGGTCACTGCTCCATGGGCATCTCATCTGTCAAATACTTCCTGTGGGCCATCAAGCCTGGGGAGAAATCCCGCTGCTGGCACAAACCTTGAGGCCGCTCAGGAAGCTGCCTTCCTTTCTCCTGTCCTCCCCCCCCCCC